CTTAACTCCAGTTCCAGGGGAATCCGAAGCCCTCTTCTGACCTCCATGGCATTGCATGACACGGGTGCACTCACATACATGCAGGCAATATACTTGTACACATAAAATAAAAATAATAAATAAAATATTTTTTAAAAAGACAATGAATGAGAGTTAGCCTTGGTGGCAAACACCTGTAATCTCAGTATTGGACCACCTTAGCTACCTAAGCAAGTTTGAGGCTAGCCTGGATTACAAGAGATTCTGTCTCAAACAAATAAGCAAAAGAAAAAAAATCATTGTAGTAGTATGTCAAGTATAACTGCATGTTGCTTTGGATGTAAAAAGCCCTGAAAAAGTACCCTGTGAGAATCAACCAACAATATGGAATTTACAATAGAAAATATTTTATATTTGATTTTACAGGGTCCTTTAAATCAGTAATATACATATACATATGTTCCCATAAGGGACTGAGTTGTTTCTCATCCCCCAATTCTTATGTTGAAGCTCTAAGCCTTAATATGACTGTACTTAAGATGTCTTTTGTAGGTAAATAAGGTTGAATGAGGTCACAAGATTGGGGTCCTAATCAGATAGATAAGTGATCTCATGGGCTATCAAAGGCTGTTTCCCTGAATAACCTTTTATGTTAAACTAACAGCAAAATGGTAGCTGTCTTCAAGTCAAGAAAAGAGGCCGCAGAATGAAAGTTTCCTTGCTGATAAAATAATTTTTGAACTTTCCAGTCTCCAGAACTGTGAGCAAAAAATTGGTTCTCTGAATATATTTTGTTTTGGCAGCCTGAGCTAAGATTGATACACCACACACACACACACACACACACACACACACACACACACACCCCAAGTCAGATAAAGAAATATTAGAAAATGATAAACACTATAAAATATAGAACAAATGGTTCTGAAGAATGCGAGACGGTCAGGAGGGTAGGTAATCCATGCTGCAGATTCTGAGGAACTGAATGCAGGCCATAGCCTTAGAAAAAAGGAATGTTTATGCCATTTCAGAGCACCATTTGACTTCTGGGCCTCAGCTGACTAGCATAGTACCTGGGCTACCCATGGATCTTGGAGGATGATCACACTTCTGAGAGAGTAGGAGAATGAAGGTACCTGGTTCTGTAGTGGGGTATGACCTGTCCTCTAGCTTTTTAGTCAGTTCCTCTCCTCAGTCCCTTCATGTTGGACTCTCAATCTTCTGCTCTTATGCATCCCCTGAAAACCCTACCACTTAGTCACCCAATTTTGGAAGCCTCATTCATGCCACCTTTTCTCTTCCCTACACTGTCACCTCAATCCAGAATCTCATCTTAGGTGTGTACAATGGCCGCTTAACAATCTCTCTAAACCTATCGATGTCACACTTGACTGTCAGGGTTAAGTTCAGATGCTTTCCTTAGCACATCCTGCCTAACTCTAACCCAAATCTTTGAATACCCCACCCCATTCACATTCACTCAGCTTGTACTGAACTTGTCCTCTGACTGTTCTGTTACTTCACACACTCTGTTCCCCTATTTGAATCTCCTTCCCCTTTCACCCAACTTCGCTTTTCATGCAAGATCTAAGTCTAGAAGGACCTGTTCCAGGAAACCCCGTGATTAACTCAGGTTATGTACATATTATGCAAGTTTACAGTGTGATTTCCATTTACTCTTCCGTCTCTTGGATAGTATGTCATATTCGTCTTAATTCTCCATGCCAAGCATGAAGCCTGCCACAGCCGACTTCCTAAGTACTTTAAATAATTTTAGAAGTTAAATCACAGGATTTAGTGACTCCCTGGAAGGAGATGTCAAAGGTATTCTGAGCTTCTGTATTGGGGAGTATAGGTTTTTGAGGTTTGGAAACGAGCAAGGAGAATCACTTGTCCTAGAGAAGACTCAAGTTGTTTATTTCACTTAGTTCTCTAAACCCGCTGGCCTGTTAACAAAGGTGAGCCAAAATGGAGAGGTAAAACTACATATCCCATCATGCCTCAGGACAGAGTTCCTGGTGTGACCCTTATCCTCCGTGCCTCGTTCACACGGATATGAAAGGAGAACTTCCGGTTCTGCTGTCTAGGGAGCCGGCGGCTTTGGTCGGCCCTTTAGGGCTTTTCACAGAAGCTCCGCCTTCGCGTGGGTCTTTCTGGAAAACCCGCTTTGATCTGGAAGGAGCGGGACAGGTACTTCCCGGGCTGCGGTGGGTGTCGGTGGGGCCGACCGCTGCCCTGGGCCGGGGGACCCCGCACCTAGGCTTTGGCGCTCCCGCGGGGCGGGGCATCGGGCTGGGAGCGGGTCTCCGATCCCGGCCCAGCCACTGACGTTTAGCCTTCTCTTTGCTTTATGTCTCTCAGTGTCCCTGCGCGTGTCTCCCATGGCGGATACGACCCCGAACGGCCCCCAAGGGGCGGGAGCTGTGGTAAGTGAGCGGGCCTGGTCTGATCGGCGAGAGTTGGCAAGGAGCAGGAAGTGTTTGAGCGGCGGAGAGTTCCAGAAGCTGCATCTGGGTGCACTGGGGTCGCGGTGCGGTGGGTGCTTCGGGGCGAACCCGGGGGAGATGAAGAGCAGCCCCGAGTTTGTTTCCGAAGCCGCAACGGGCTGGCCTGGAGCAGGGGCCCCTCACCCGCTGATCGGGAACAGGGACTCTCTTCCCGCCTCTGGCTGTGCCCTCTGCCCTCTGCCCTAAGGTTGAATATTCTATGCCCTGACCCGCACGCCTGCCTTGGCGCACGCACATCGTGCCGCCCTCAAACCTTTGTACCTACTTTAAACCGTTTTAAGAAATTACGAAAAGGGAGAGAGAAGGCGGAGTGTTTTCTTCTTGTTGTCTTTTGTTAGGAGAAATACTACGCTTTTATAAACTTTATGTTTAAGATGCTGACCGGCAGCTTTTTCATTACTTGTGTCCGAGGCGTTCTTGCCTATAGTCCTTAAACTGAATTTGTGATTGGGTTAGTATTTTTTTAGAAAAAAAATTGACAACACCTCCATATAACTTATTTTAACACCTCCATATAACTTATTTTGCTGACCAGTTTGAAAGTGTTGTTAACCCGTATAAACTTAAGTATTTCTCCAGATGACTTGTACATTTGGAAAGTTTAACATTGATACATGTTAACCTAATTCGTAGTTCCTGTCCAAATTCCTTAATTACATCTTGCAGTACCTCCTTGGGAATCAGCCAAAAAGTACATATTTATTAGTCATATCTCTTTACTCTCACTTAGTCAATGAAAGTTCATCTGCTGTCCTCCCTCCTTGGTCTTTGATGATACAGGTGGTAGTTTTCAAGAGTATAGACTTGTTTTGCAGAATGCCCCAGAAACTGATGTGTCCTTCTCAGGACACTGGGAGCATTTCACGTGGATCCTTTTGTTGGGGAATTTAAGTGTGATGTCTAAGATGGTATCAACTGATTATCCATTGTAAAGATTTTTTCCCCCCTTTATGGTTAACAGGTATCCTGTGACTAATACTTTGAGACTGTGAATAATTTTTACCTCGTTTTTAATTCAAAGATCATTTTTTTTTCTTGGAACTATTTATTGCTAGTTAGTAGTTAAGCAGTTCACTCTTAAAAATGTAAACCAGGACCTGGAGAGATGGCTCAGCAGTTAAGGGCACTTTCTGTTCTTGCAGAGGATCTAGGTCAGTTCCCAGAACCCACATGGAGACTCCTAACCTCAGTAATCCCAGTTCCAGGGAATCCAACATCCTCTTCTGGCTTCACCTTTGGCATTGCATGCATATAGTATACTTAACATACGTGCAGACAAAACACTCATATATAAAAAAAATTTTTTTTTTTTTTGGTCTTTTTGAGACAGGGTCTCCCTGTAGCCCCAGCTGTCCTGGAACTCACTATGTAGACCAGGCTGGCCTTGAACTCACAGAGATCCACCTGCCTCCACCTCCTGAGTGCTGGGATTAAAGGCATGCACCACCACGCCCGGCTAAAAAAATTTTTTGATGGAAATTTAAAAGTGGACCTCAAGAGGCAGAGGCAAACGGATCTCTATGAATTGGAGACCAGCCTGGTCTTCATAGTGAACTCCAGGCCAGCCAGTGCTACATAATGAGACCTGTCTCAAAAGAACCAAAACCAAACAAAAACAAAAAATAAGCCAATATATGCCTTTAGAACTTTTATTGTGTATTTAATGTGTGTACATAAAAATGTCCAGGATGAGGGGCAGAAAAGATGGCTGAGCAGTTACAAGTGTTACTGCTTTTGCAGAGGATCCAAGTTCAGTTCCTTGTACCCACATCATGTGGCTCATAACTACTTGTCACTCTAGCTCCAGGGAGAATCTACCCTCTGGCCTCCTGTGCATATCACACATATACATAATTAAAAATAAAAACTTAAAAAATGTTTGGTATGGAATGTATAATTCTGAGATGTCTCACAAAATGAACATCCTACACAATTTTTTCCTAAGACAGGACCTACCTGTAGTCCCAGCTGGCCTAGGACTTACTACCTACGTAGACCACTTTGGCCTCCATCTCAACAGAGATCATCCTCCCTCTGCCTCCCAGTTGCTGGGATTAAAGGTGTGTGCCACCCCTCCTGGCTTCCTACATAAATATTTGTATTTATTTTTTTGGTTTGTATGTGTGCCCACACTTGTACTAAGGTGTGTGTGTATGTCAGAGGACGATTTGTGGGAGTTGGTTCTTCTTAGCATTGTTTCCCAGGTATTCAACTCAGGTTGTCAGGCTTGGCAGCAAGCACTTTCATTACTGAGTCACTGTACTGGCCCTGAGAATAGATTTAAAGAGAATGTTCTAAAATTAAATTTCAAACTATAGTGTGGAGTTTGGATATTTGTAGACAAACTGAGCATAGTAAGTTAAATTCATCCCTCTCCTTGGCTGCTGCATCACAGTGCAATAGATGAGTCTGGATAGAATAAGCTAGAGACATATTTGTATTTTTGAAATTGCTAGTATATAATTTAAAAGGCATTCAGTAAAATGCCCTTGAACTTTAAATGTACTTACATTTTTCTTTAAAGAATCTTTTTTACTTTTCCATAAAACATAATGGAAACATTATGGTAGCTTTGAGGAAGCAGAGGCAAGCTTGGCCTATGTTGCGAGTTCCAGGCTATCCAGTGCTACATAGTGAGACCCTGTCTCAAAAAAAAGAAAGAAAAAACAAAAAATCCAGGCAGATCCACTGAAATGTGAAACTTCTGTTTTCTTTATATATCCACACATATTTGTATCAGATTTTGATAACTTTTTTTAATGTTGTAACTGAAAAATATAAAAGCCTCTTTTAAAAATTGCATGTAATGTACATGTTAATGATGAAACAAAATTATAAGTTCTTTCTTGGCATGCTTAGCCTAGGGCCACTGATAGCAGAGTAGAACTTGTGGGGGAACTTTTAGGGGATGAGGAGAGTCATATAATCAGAGAAGCTGATACCACAAAGGGCATGCCAGGCCCTTTTGCATGTATATAGGCCAATTGTCCACAGGGTGAGATCAGCAGTAACTACTGTATGGCTTTGCTTTTCCCTCCTAAAAGGTTTATTTACTCCCAACTGAGTGTGTGATGTCTTCTTCCTCAGTTCTAAGACCTGTCTATTTGGGTTTGAGGTTTTTCTAAGAATAGACATTGTGGTTCTCTTGAGAGCGATTAGTTCTTATTTAATGTTGTTTTAAAATAGATGAAACCAGTATTGCAAATGTTCAAATAGCACGATTGTATATAGTTGAATTTTTTTTCCTCTAATTAGTTAAAAAAAAATCATTGAAGTGTTAACTGGTATGTTTAAGTACTTCTTATGCCTTCCACATCAAAACTATAATGTGTTTAGATTTACCACGAAGGATATATGTGAAACAGTTATGTACCATGAGTTTTCACTTAACTGATCTGAAAAAAAATGTTATAAGGTTGTTTAAATATTTTTAATGGGAATAAAACTACATACTTTGTTCTCTTTCAGGCTTAGTTTACCATGATATTTTTCTGTTTAAATCTAGCAATTCTTGATGACCAATAAATTGGACACGGCAATGTGGCTTTCTCGCCTGTTTACCGTTTACTGCTCTGCTCTGTTTGTCCTACCTCTTCTTGGGTACGTATTATACGTATTTCTGACTCAAGAGCCAGCTGTGCAATAGACATTTATGAAATGACTTTCAGCTTTAAGAACTGTTAAACTGTAAACGGCATAGGACTAAATAAGACACAAACCCCATTTATAATCGATAGTAATCTAGTAATACCAATTGGAGGAATGTTTTATGTCTTCTGATTTGTATAACAGCAAATTAAAAATCTGAGGGCAAATGGATGTGTGGATGAGAAGTTCATGGTTCTTGGATTTTTTACTTGTTTAACTTGACAAAAGAATGCTTTATAAAATTCAGTTGGGCATATATGTGAAGTGACACTTCAAAGAAGGTAGAGTACATTCAAGTCATTTCTATCAACAATTAAATGATTTAGGTGTTGGGCAATTATGATGCAATTCACAAAGGACGAAGAGACATGGTAGGTGTTTATGTCTCACGATAACTTTCCCTCTGGTAATTCGCAGGTTGCATGAAGCGGCAAGCTTTTACCAACGTGCTTTGCTGGCAAATGCTCTTACCAGTGCTCTGAGGCTGCATCAAAGATTGCCACACTTCCAATTAAGCAGAGCATTCCTGGCCCAGGCCTTGTTAGAGGACAGCTGCCACTACCTGTTGTATTCACTCATTTTTGTCAATTCCTACCCGGTTACAAGTATCCTTTTCTATTTTCTTGACAGTGAAATGACCAACTAAGCATGCAGATGCCTTGATTATTTTTCTATCAGAAGGATTCAGTAATGACATTCTATGAAGCTTGAGTTTCTTTGTTTTTTAGCATGTCATTTGTATGAAGATATGTTGCCTAAGAATTTCTGTCTCTGGTTGGGTGTGGTAGTGCACGCCTTTAACCCAAGTATTTGGGAGGCAGGAGCAGGTGGATCTGAGTTCCAGTCAGCCAGGGCTACATAGTGAGACCCTGTCTCAAAAAACAAAATAATTTCTATCCCTAAAACTTGAAATCTAAACTTTGAAGAGCTGTTTGGGGCATTTGAACTTTGTCAATGCTCTTTCCTCTTGTAAGCTTAGCAGATATTTAAAAATTCATATTCAAAGTGCAAGCATATGCAGGACTTTTTTTTTTTTAATTTTATTTATTTTGGTCTTTTTGAGACAGGGTCTCCCTGTAGCTTCAGCTGGCTTGGAACTCACTATGTAGACCAGCTTGGCCTTAACTCACTGAGATCCACCTGCCTCTGCCTCCTGAGTGCTGGGATCAAAGGCAAGCGCCACCACACCTGGTGTAAGGACTTGTAATATTTAAATTTTTCTTTCTCCTATCTTTGGGAAAATATGCAAATGTCTTACTTTTAAAAAATGAGGTCCTTAGTTCCCCTAACTTTCAGCTAGCTAGAAACAAATGAAAATTAATCCAGAAATAATTAAATAAAATAAAAGTAATTTGCTATATAAAATAGAAAATAAGGACTGAGACAGGTGTGATAGGGCATACCTGTAATCCTAGCACTGGGGGCAGCAGTAGCTTGAGACCAGCCTGGTCTACATAGCGAGTCCTAGGCCATCTAGGGCAACAGAGTTGGGGATAGGGAAGTAGTGAACATAAACTAGCAAATGGCAAGGAATGCTAATCTGATTCATAAAGAAAGTGGGTATTATGCAAATGAGCCAAGGTTGCCCAAGGTAATAATACAGATAGATTCAGGCATTTCTTCCTAAGGTGGTATATTGTCTTTTCTGTGTCAGTGACTGGCACTTAAGGATGAAATTGTAGACTTTTAACCCGTTATCTTTTTTTTTTTTTAATTAAATTTTATTATTGTTATGTGTATGTATATATTGCCTGCATGTGGGTAAGTGCACCCCTCTCATGCAATGCCTGTGGAGGTCAGAAGAGGCTGTCAGATCCCCTGGGACTGGAGTTACAGACAGTTGTTAGCTGCCATGTGGGTGCTGGGATTCGAACCCAGGTCTTCTGCAAGAACAACCAGTGTTTTTGACCTCTGAGCCATCTCTCCAGCCCCTCACCCCTTATCTTTCCTAAATAGCTTAAAAGTGACATTGAACTAGTCAGGTGACATACACCTGTAGTCTAAGCACTTGGAAAGGGAGACTAGAAAGATCAAAGGCAAGCCTGGGCCTGCATGAGACTCAAAAACCCAAAAGTTAGAAAAAAAAATAAAGTGATATCAATAACCAAGATTATAAATCTATATTTGTTAACTTTAGACAGTTAAGAGATAAAATACTGATTAAAAATCTATTTGAGGGCTGGAGAGATGGCTCTGTGGTTAAGAGCACTGGCAGCTCTTGCAGGGGATCTGGGTTTAGTTATCAGCACTCACATGGTGGCTAAAAACCATCCATAATTCCAGTTTCAGGTTAAGGTCCTCTTCAGGCCTTGTCAGGCCATGCAGGACATGGGTACACTTACATACATGCAGGCAAAACACTCATCCACATATAACATAAAATTTTTTAAATTAAAAATACATTCAGAACATCTTTTAAGGTTCAGTTCCTCAAAATAATGGGATTTAAGACATTAGCTTTAACTCTTTTTGTCAGCAGTAGAGACTTATAAAAGCTGTTTAGAAGACTGTTTAAGACCAGATTGGATTGGGAGCTAGAGAGATGGCTCACTGACTGCTCTTGCGGAGGATCCAGGTTCAATTCCCAGCATCCACGATTGCCAACAACTGTCTATAACTCCAGTTCCAGGGAATCCAACACTCTTTTGGCCTCTGCAGGGCATTGGACGCATATGGTGCACTTACATACATGCAGGCAAAACACTCATACACAGAAAATTAAAAATATTTTTTTTTAAAAAAAGACCAGAGTAGAGGACTGGAGAGATAAATACCCAGGTTTTGTTCCCAGCACCCACCCCAGGTTCAGATCTGGTGCCCTCTGTCCTCCCTGGGTACCTGTATACACATAGTACACATAAATAAAAATAAATAAATCCTTTTAAAAAAGAGGGTTGAAAAGCTGTATTTGGTCATTTAAGGTGGTCTGCATTTTGGTTTAATTTAGCAAGCCTTTGCAGTGCTTTAGTAAAAACCTTTTTTGACTTTTCATAAAAAGAATGTTGAGTTTTAGAAAATGAGGTGGTTTTTTTTTGGTCTTTTTGAGATAGAGTCTCTCTGTAGCCCAGCTGTCTGGAACTCACTATGTAGACCAGGCTGGCCTTGAACTCATGGAGATCTGCCTGCCTCTGCCTCCTGAATGCTGGGACTAAAGGCATGCGCCACCACACCCGGTCTTTGCCGCATTCTTTAAAAGTGATTAAGGACCTGGCCGTGAAGTGGCTGCTGCACTGGACTCTTCTCAGTGTCACTCCTGCTCTCTGTGTTTGCTTGCACTGCGGGGCCTGTTTTGCTAAGTGTTTAACAACTTCTGGGCATTTTCCTTAACTGTTCTTCAGTGAGTATTTTCCCAGTCTTGTTATTTTCTTTGCTTCATGCTGCCACATACACTAAAAAGATCCTTGATGTAAGTAAAACTGTTTTGTTTATTTGACTTTTGCATTTTAGATGGTCAGATGAGTTAGTTTTAGATGCTTGTCACCAAAGGTCTTGCTACTCCTCACAAACTTGTTAAAAAGATTTAGTAAAATTTGAAAATTTTAGATTTGAAGTTTGCATTTTGAGCTGTTACAAAGTAACATATTTTGTAGAGACAGAATTGTACGTAAAATTATCCTCCAGTTCCCTAAAGTTTGAAATAGTATATCTACATTAAAACGGCTTCAACAACACAATCTGTATTTTTTAAGTTTGATGATTGGCAGTGGTCTCTTGTTCTGTCAGTTTGTCATGCTAACATATGGATACAGCCATGCTGAATATCTTTTACACTAACATTTAAAACTGCTTTCCTGCATTTTTATTTTCTTTTTCTGGGTTGGGACATTAGGCCATTGTGGCAAGAGAATATTATTATATATACATTCAATCAAATTTGAATTAAAATACTAAGTTTGTGGTTTTTTATTAGTCTTTATCCTTTATTTCTTTAGCCAGAGTAGCAGTTAGGATTCCGTAATCCTAGTGTTAATTAGTTAAGGAGTCACAGATATTTTAACTGTTGCTGGATAGTCTGATTTTTGTTCATGACTGGAAAGAACGACTGATGTTTTTGGTTTTGAAATAATTTAACTTTTCTTATGGGAAATAAAATAAGAATGAAAGATCTTTTATTGCTTTGTTTTTGGTTGTCTTCAGAACACCTAAAACAGGGAAGTATACTGGGTAAGTTCTTAAGTTTGTAAACTTTCTGGTCACTTTGAAATAATTGACTTTTGGTTGTATTACCTATTAAATAACCTAATGAAAGTCAATACGTGGTATCCATCAGTTGCACTCCATATTTAACCAACTGTGTATCAAAAGTATCTACCAAAAAATATTGTGTCTGTGCTGACAGTGTCTTCTGACTTTCCCTGGACAGTACGGTGTAACAGCTGTATAGCACACATGCCATATTAGGAATAAAAGCGATGTAGAGATGATTTAAAGTATAGGAGATGTGTGGGAGCGGAATGTAAGTACTGTGCCGCTCTAAATAAGAGTCTTGAGCACCCACATATTTTGATATCAGATGACTGGTTGAGTTGTCAAAGGTGCTTCATTATTTCTGTTTGTTTTGTTTTAGGCAAAGGGTTCGAATAGTTTACCACTCTTGAGATCTGTCTTGGATAAATTAAGTGCTAATCAACAAAATATTCTGAAGTTCATTGCTTGTAATGAAATATTCTTGATGCCTGCTACAGTTTTTATGCTTTTTAGGTAAGAATAAGAATTTATTTGTTTTGAAAGACTGATGACTGAGAGAACACCATAAAGAAACTCAAATTTCATCTTGACTCAGCAGTTAACAGCATGTATCTTTAGGTAGATTATTACAGTCACTTTTTGTTTTAAATGCTTAATAAGTTTCTTTTTTGAGATTCTTTGATATTTTCATACATGTATAAACTGAGTTTGAGACATTTTCATCCCCATGTTACCCCTTCTCATCTTCCCCTCCTGTTGAAACCCTCTTCCCAACAATCTTCCTCCTACACTGATGTGTTTTTTGTTATTAATTAAATTTGTTGATAATTTAATACATGTGTATAATGTATTTTGATGGCTCTTACTCCCTACCCTCTTTTCATCTCCCTCCCCTCCTATCTGCAAGTCCTTTTCTCATTTGTTTTGGGACCTACTGAATGTAACCGGGGCTGTTTGCCTGGCTGTGGGTATGGAACTATCCACTGGAGCCTGGTGGGCTCACCAGTGGGAACACAACTGATGACAATGATTCTTCATCCCCCAGCATCCATCAGGAGCCCAGGGAGGGGGAATTTATCTTATGCTGCTGTGAGACATCATTTAACAGTTGAAAATTAATTTTAATCTTTGAAAATTCATTTCAAAATTGCTACTTTTGAATGAGTCTTGAAGGGGATTAGAGAGATGGTTCAGTGGTTAAGAGCATGTGCTGTTTTTCTAGAGGACCTGAGTTCAGTTCCCAGCACCCATGTGGGGCAGTTCACAGGTGTTTTTAGCTCCATTTCCAGGGGACCTTCTGGCTTCTGGTCACCTGCACACACAGACACTCCCTGCCGCTGCCTCCCCCAACATAATTTGAAAATATTTAAAAATAAACCTTAAGCCAGGAGTGGTGGTGCATGCTTTTAATCCCAGCAATTGGGAATCAGAGTGGATCTCTTTGAGGTCTAGGCCAGCCTGGTTTACATAGTTTCAGGCCAGCCAGGGCTATATAGTGAGACCATGGTTTTTTGTGTTTTTTAAAAAAAGAATCTTGAAGCCTAATTCAGTTCATTCTTGCCTTTATTGACGTGGGGTTGTTTTTCCTTATGTTGGAGGAGAATCTTTAAAATTGTGGTCTTGCCCGGCGTGGTGGCGCACGCCTGTAGTCCCAGCACTTGGGAGGTAGAGGCAGGCAGATCTCTGTGAGTTCAACGCCTGCCTGGTCTACATAGTGAATTCCAGGCCAGCTGGGGCTACAGGGAGACCCTGTCTCAAAAAGACCAAAAAAAAAATTGTGGTCTTATGACGACATTGCCTAGTGTTGCCTCCTTGTTAGTTTGTAACCTGGAAATGAGAATGTGCAAATGAAGAAAGGTGTGCCTTTGGATGTTAGTTCTATAGAAGCCTTGCTCTCTTCATTGTGATTTTGAATATAAGTTTCAACATGTACATGTCTGCTTGGATGGTTGCTTTATTGTAGTTTTATAAGGGGTAGGACATTATAGATAAGCCAACAGGGCCATCCAACCTTTTAGCTTCTCTGGGCCACATTGTCATCTACAGAATTTATGCTTGAGAGGTTATGAGTTTGTGTTGGGCTGCGTGTGACCCCATAGGCTTCAGGTTGGACATGCCTCACTGCTAAAATGAAATTTTATTTATTAAATTGTTTTGTTAAATTGTTTTTTATTTTATGCCACATAATGCATCAGTTATCTGCACCATGCTTTTTTCCACTCATGATACATTCTGTATTCTATTTGTGTTGGCATATAGGTTAAGTGTTTGTTTCACTTAATGATTATATAGTGTTGTGTCAGATCAGTATACTCCATTTTATTACCCTAATCATGGACATTTGATTCTAATTTTTTTCTTTCCAAATATTGATGCAGTAAACAACCCTTCTTAGCCTACTTATACTTCAGTATCTCAACAGTTGTTTCTTTAACATAGATATCAGAATTGATTTTCCTCTTTATAAGCTAAGTGCATTTTGTGTTTAACAGACCATGTTTTTTAGTAGTGCTGTGGGTTAAACCTATGGCCTCTCAACTGCCTATATGAAATGCTGACACGTTGTGCAAACTTAAAAGAACCTTATTTTGGACTGGGAATAGGTTTTGACCTCATTGGTACGGAAACTCAGCTGTGTTGCTTAAAGCATTTATTTAACCACTGGGAACAAAGTTATCTTAATTTTCAAGATTATTGTAAAGAATTTACCAGAAGTATTTAAATAGAGAAATTATTTATTTTTTTGCTAGAACTTAATCCTCTAGTGAAACTGTAGTATGTGCGTGTACATGCATGTGCTTCTAGAAGTCAGAGCTCTACGTTGGGTGTTGTCTTCTATCACTCTACAATTCGGTTTTATTATTGTTTGGGTTTTTTTGTTTCTTTGCTTTTTTGAGATAGGTTCTCACTATGTAGCCCTGGCTAGCCTGGAACTCACTGTGTAGACCAGGCTGGCCTCAAACTCAGATCTTCTTGCTCTGCCTTCCAAGTGCTAGGTAGAATTAAAGGTGTGAGCTACCATGCTCAATTTCGACTTCAGTTTTAAGGCATGGCCTTTCACTGAACCTAGAGCTCACCATTTCACATAGACTCAGTAGCCAGCAAGCCCCCTAGGACCTGAACTTGGGTCCTCATGCTTCTGCAGCAAGCACTACCCACTAAGCTATCTCCCCATCCCTCTCACCCTTGACTTCTAGTAATTACTGTTTTACTTTTTTTTTGAAGTCAGCTGTCACCCTTGACTTCTAGTAATTACTATTTTACTTTTTTTTTGAAGTCAGCTGTTTTAGGTAATGCATTTGAATGAGAAGATGCAGTATTTATCTTTCTGTCCCAGATTTATCATTTAGTATACCTTCCAGTTTCATCCATTTTTACTACACATGGTAGTATTTCATCCTTTCACGACTGAATAGCATTCCATCCTGTAAGTATACTTGGGATATCCATTCATCTGCTGATGGACTCCAGTTGATTCTGTATCTTGGCTGTTGTGGATAGTGATGCAGTTAATATGGCTTTGCAGATGTCTCATTGATAATGCTGATTTCATTTCCTTTAGATAGATATCCAGAAGTGAGATAGTTGGCTCATATAGATTTTTTTTTTTACTGTCTTCCATAATGGTTGTACTACCGACCATGCATGAGTTTCTTTTTTCTGCTTCCTTGCCAGTGCTAGTTATTTTTGCTTTTTCTATAGTTGCTATTCTGATGAATGAGATGCTCTTTCACTGTGGCTGGCTTTGCATCCCATGGTGGCTAGTGATGCCAAGTGTCATTTGAGAACTCTCTAGAATCAGATCATATGGCTGTTGTTTAACATTGTTGAAGTTTTTGGTTCTTTAAGTTTTTGAGTTCTTATTCTGGATATTAATCCCTTGTCAGAGGAACAATTTTCAAATATTTTCTCCTGCTACTAGGCTATCTTTTTGTTCTGATTGCTTTTGCTTTGCAGAAGTTTATTAGTTTGCTGTAAATTTTCTTTGTCCATTTTGCTTTTGTTACCTAGACTTTTGGGTGGTTGTTATAAAAAAAAATAGTTGTTTTTTGCCAATATCTTGGAGTGCTTCCTTTTAGCAGTTTCATAGTTTCGGGTCTCACACTTCCGACTTTAACTATCTTGAGTTGCTTTTAGTATGTAGGGCGAGAATAGGGATCTGGTTGTATTCCTCTGCATACATACAGATACCTAGTTTTCCCAGTACCAGTATTGAAGATCCTCTTCCTTTCCCTGGTGTATGTTTTTGATACCTTCATAAAGCCTAGTTGGCTGTAGATCTTTGGATTTGTTTCTTTTCTGTTCATTGGTTTGTGTTGGTCTTTATATTAGTATTGTACTGTCTTGGTTACTGTAGCCCTTTGTTTCTATTTCTGTGAAGCATGTCATACTTTGATAGAGATTGAACTGAATCTGTAAACTGCTTTGAGTAGTATGACTTTTTTAAATAAAAACTTTATTGAGAATTTCATACATGCTTATAAGGTGTTTTGATCAAATTCATGCCCACTCCCTCCCCTCCAATACCTCCCATATCTCCCATCACTTTTTCCTGACAACTTTGTGTTGAGTAGTATAACATTTTAACAAATTTCTTTCATTGCATAAACATAGAGGCCTTCCTGTGTTTGTGTGTGTTTAATTTTTTCATCAGTGTTTTATAACTGTTTTAGAGAATTAAATTCAGTTTATAAAGTTCATTTATTTTGTCTTTGGGGATTAAGTCCACAGCTTCAAGAAATGCTATGCAAGCCCCCTGCAACTGAGTTATGTCCCTACCCTCCATGTATAGTAGTAAAACTATTAATGTTTTAAGTATGTTACTTGAATATAACCCAAAGTATAAAATTAAAATCATGTCATTACTATTTATATGCCACCTTCATGGCAAATACACTCTGATTATAGAGGTTCTATTACTTAAAGCTCTTTGTTTAAAGATAAACCCACAGTCTTGAGTTTATCTCACATGCACATGTGTGCAAAGACAAAGAGGTCATTGCCATTTGCTTATTTCTTTACTTCCTTCTCTTGACCCTTCTTTCCTTTTCCTACTTTTCCTCCTCTCCCTCTTTCCTTTCCTCCCTTCCATATTTTGGTTTTTTGAGATAAGGCTTTGCTCTATAGCTCAAGCTGGTCTCAAAACAAACCATTTGCAGCTGCCTCATGGGGAAGCTGGGATTACAAACATTGTAATGTTTGTTTTGTGGGGGTTGAACCCAGGGTGTTGTGCCTGATAGGCAAATACTGTCAAACTACAGGTATATCTATTTGGTATATACCCCAAGTATAGCTAGCTAGCTTCTCTTTCTTTCTAAAACATACACATATAAAACATATACTCGTCAGGTATTATAATGATGCTTTTTAACCAAGAACACTAATTAGTATAAGCTATATAAATTTATTAGTGGGCTGGTATAGTTTTGAGTTTTTGTTTGTATAAGACAAACTACTCTCCATTTGGATATTTATTAAGACTTAAAATTTGATTTCAAGTGGGCATGGTGGTATATGCCTGCTCTCTGGTGACTGTGATGGGAGGATCAGGAGTTCCAGGTCAGCCTGGGTTAAATATTGAGACTCTATTTCAATAACAAAGCATTAGGCTGGCAAAATGGCTCTTTGGGTAAAGGCACTTGCCTTGTAAGCCTAACGACCTGAGTTTGGTCCCAGGAACCGAAGGAGAGATGGAAGGCAAGATCTCACTTCATAAAGCTTGTTCTCAGATCTTTATACAAGCAAGTGCCCACACACAGAGTAGTAATAAATTTTTAAAAATATTTTATTATTATTTTTATTTCATGTGTTTGAGTGTTTTGTTTGCATGTATGTAAGTGCACCCATGTCATGCATTGCCCACGGAGATCAGAAGAGGGCATTGGATCCCCTAGAACTGGAGTTATGGATGGCTGTTATCCGCCATGTGGGTCCTGGGAATTGAACCCAGATCCTTTAGAAGAACAGCCAGTGCTAACTGCTGAGCCATCTCTCCAACTCCCATAATAAATTTTTTTAAAAACCTGAAATACTTGATTTCACTTGCTTATGCTAATTAATAGAAATAGTTATGTGATATTATCTGACTTATTTGGTATTTTTAAAATGTTAAAGAAATGTATGAATACATTTATAAAAACTTAAATAGCAGTTTACTCTTTGCCAGTCATCTACATCCTTCTGTTTTCTTTATAAGGAATATAGTAGATGTTACTGACCATTTGATGAAGACACATGTATGCTTATGAATTGCTGGTAAGTTTTGAGTTTACATATGAATTGGCAATGTATATTTATCACCTTTTTATTTGTTTATTTCAGTGGCCAAGGAAGTTTGCTCCAGCCTTTTATATATTACAGATTTCTTACTCTTCGATATTCTTCTAGAAGAAATCCATATTGTCGGTAAGCTGGTGATTAATTTTAAATCTATTTTGTTTAATATATTTTCAGAATGTACTATTTAGAACTCAGAACTTTTTAAGCTAATAGTTTAGAATTTGGAAAGACAAAATGTCTGTAAATTTAAGTTGTAGTTGTAGCTAGGGTTAGTAAAGACATAGTTATATAGATAGTCCTTAACTTGTGATATATTTGCTATATGCTGATATATTTATTGTAAGTTGAAAATTTCCTAAGTCAAAAGTGCATCTAAAACACTTCCCCTAGCAAACAGAGTTTAGCAGTGTAGTACACTGTAGAGTATAGTTACTGGTAGCTGTGGCCCTCCACTGTTATGCAGCATCACAGTAATGAATCATGCAACATGTTGCTAGCCTTGGAATAGATTAAGATTCAAAGTATGGCTGCTACTGGATGCGAACTACTTTTGCAGCATCATAAGTAATAATATTATAGGTCAAAACATTCAAGATTGGGGACCATCTATATTACTTTTCAGAAATTGAGACTAGGGTTATCTTGCTTACCTTTAAAACACTGCTAATATTTGGGAAGTGTGTCAAACCTAAGTCCCATTCTCAGGGAACTTTTCTTAGTTGAAACAAAGACTTGTGAGTTAAAACAAAAACAATAGTTCAGAATAAACTTCACAAGTTAGTATTTAGTAGTCTACCCTTATCCACACTGTAGCTTCCTGTAGTTTCTGTTACACATGGTCCAAAAAGCTCATTACCAGGCAACAAACATGGTGCACACCTGTAACCTCAACATCCTGGAATCTGAGGCAGTTCCCTGTACGTAGGAGCATGAGTTCCAGGCACAGTGAGAGTCAGCATATACAGTAAAAGTTGTGAGTAGCCAAAATTATCCTTGTGGATCCGTGAATTGACTTTTAGAGTATAGTACAGTATGTCTAATTGTGTGTATGTTGTGTGTGTGTGTCTGCATGTATGTGCAGTGTGTAATGAGTACATTGTAGGCAACAAGCAGAGGTCAGACAAAGCAAGGCCACTTAGTGTTTGGGGAACAGACATGATATAACACAACTTTTGAAGTCATAACAGGAAATGAAGCAAGATAATAGATCAAGACCAAATTGTGTATGATATTGGATAGGTTTTAACCTGAACGGGGAAAAAGAGCTAGTTTGATAAGTGGAATTATCTAATTAACAAATAATATTTATTGAATATGTTCTGTGCTTCCTCCTTTAAACTTCACATCATGAAACATTTACTCCTATTTTACAGAAGAGAAAAGCTCTGAGAGAAAGTGTGCTTATTTAAAGAAATAGTGTGTGGATTGCCCAGAGCCTATATTATGTAATTTTTTTCTGTCCTTTTAAGAATGAGTTGAATTTTTCCTGTAATGTGAAAATTGGCTGGACGTGGCGATGCATGCCTTTAATCCCAGTATTATGAGATCTAGAGCAGCCTGGTCTCGATAGGGAGTCTAGGCCAGCTAGGGCTCCAGGAAGACCCTGCCTCAAAAAGACAAAAAAGAAAGAAAAGAAAAAGTGAAAACCGTGACTACTGTAAAGAAAAATATGTTAATCAGTCCTTAGAGATAAGCCTTTTTTTTAAATGCTTATAACTTTTCAACCCCAAAAGGACACTGGTATTGATTTTGAGAATGTTGTCGTCTCTCTGTTGAGGGCAGTAGTGCTGTGTTGCCCTGGCTGGCCTTGAAATCCTGGGTTCACCTCCTATTCTACTAGCCTCCTGAGAGCTGGGGCTGTTGGTGTACATGGTTCCAGCTTTTTGTCTGGTCTCTACACTGTATTCTAGGTTACTCTTTAACTTCTTTAAATCCTTCATTGGCCAGTTTAGCATTTGCATGTTTTATTGTCTTTTTGTTGCGTTTCTGAAAGAAAACTTCTATCTTACAGGAACTTGTTTAATGAACTGAGGATTGTTGTTGAACACATAATAATGAAACCCTCCTGCCCACTGTTTGTGAGAAGACTTTGTCTCCAGAGCATTGCCTTTATAAGCAGACTGGCACCAACAGTTGCGTAGTTTAACATGTATAGTCAAGCTATGTATAGGGGATAAGCATTAGCTGCTGGTACTTCTGGTAGGGGTCAAAATTTCCAGGTGTAGCACTGACCTCAGTCCAGTATACATAATTTACATAAATGCATCTCAATGGAAAAATAATCATTTTCCTGGCATGTTAAATTGAGCCTTTAAAAAAGTTTCTGAGAATATTTTACTGTGCATTATTGTTCATGGTTAAGTAAGTTTGTATTTACTGGTAAATCTACTAAATTGTTTTAGATACTGGTGTGCCTATATCATGACATACATTCACTTCTTTTAAAAAGAATTCTGGGCCGGGCATGGTGGCGCACCCTTTCAATCCCAGCACTCGGAGGCAGAGGCAGGCGGATCTCTGAGTTCAAGGCCAGCCTGTTCTACATAATGAGTTCCAGGCCAGCTGGGGCTACTGGGAGACCCTGTCTCAAAAAAAGAAAATAAAAAGAATTCTGAAATTTGTCTCTACCTAATTAGTAATCTAAGTTTATGTCTGGCATGAGTTCATTATGGTAATATGTGAATTCAGTATATTTTGAGTCAGTATTCTCATTCAGTAATTTTGGTCGATTTTGGTAGAAGCAATTCCCACTGCAGTTTCACACCGTTACTGATTTTGTGCTGTTCTGCTAGGACAGATTTGTTTTGGCTGCAACCTTACAAGAGAAATTCTGTTCGCATTTTATGGCCTAAAATTTTATTTCTGTAAATATTTCTGTGGCTTTGAATAATTTTTTAAAATGGCTCAATTGTAAGCCTATTAGGGAAACATATTTGGGGTCATAGAAGCATTTTACACTGGAAAGTAGTAGTGACGCAGCTTTCCTTTCAGAGACCCATTGAGTAACTTTTCAAATAAATCCTTTTACAGATGTGGACAGATAAGATTGTTAGTGCTAGTTTCTAGAATTACCTAGTTCAGATTCTTGACTCTAGTTTTCTTGGTTTCTTAGGCTTGAAATTCCCTAGACAGTTGCAGCAGTTCAGATGCCTTTGAAAGGAATGTGGTTGAAGACTGAGCATGGGACTATATTTGTGTCTGTTCTGAAATAATGAAGAGTATCGTATAGATTACATATTTACCCATCAAATCTGATTCAGAAGGTTAAATGGAAGGTTTATAGGTAAAGTTATTGATTGAGAGTGGGATTGGGGAATAGGTGAGGGGGAATAATATGCATTTCAGTCTTGTAATGCATAGATGATTGGGGGAATTGGATGTATGATTCATCTGTGATTTGGGTTATAGTCTATGTTACGTTCTCTTAATTGAGCTATCAGTTCCTTTACAAAAGTCATTCTGATCCTTATTGCAGATTGCATGATTGGAAATATTTAAACACTGTACAATTTTAGTACAGAGTAAATGTAATAATTTTTGTAACCAGTTTTCTTCTGTCTGCATGTAATTTGGATTTCTCAAATATATTCATTAGTAACTTAATTAGTAACATCAGTTTTTTTGTTCAAGCTCCCGAGCTATAGAAAGGTCACACTCTTGGGGTAGATTACCAAAAAAATTCTACGTGATAGCTTAACTGTTACCAGCTACTTTTGTATTTTTGTAATATTTGTCCACTAAGTTGGAGAAGCAACCTACTACTATACAGTTGTTTTTTTTTTTTTCAATGTGTGTGCACGTGCCTGGCCTCCTTACCACTATGTAATCTGATGCTTTTAAAAACAAAACACTCTAGAGCAATAAAGTGACTGTAATGTTAAGTAAACATACTGATTTCTAATGATGTTTTTAGACACTGTCTTGAATTCCATCAAGTTTTGGGGTCGGGTGTGGTGGCACACACCTTTATTCCCAGCACTGGGAGGCAGAGGTGGGTGGATCTCTGTGAGTTCAAGGCCAGCATGGTCTACAAAGTGAGTTCCAGGTCAGCTGGGGCTACAGGGAGACCCTGTCTCAGAAAGACACCCTCCCAAAAAAAAGAACAGTTTTGGCAGCTAAAGGCATATTTATTTTGAAGTGTTCTTTTTCCTACAATTTTCAGTTTTGGAATAATTTAGATTTTTGAGTTTCAAAAATAGTGCTCTGAGTTCCTGTCTTAATGCCCTTTACTTAACAATGTTTTATATCAACATCCCTTAATTGGTAGACTGTGAAAAATAAGAAAATGACCTTGGATTAACTAGAGAATTTCTTTGGGTTTCACCAGTTTTTCCGTGTGTGTGTTTATACTGTGTTTTTATCTTGAGTTATGTTTTAAGGTCTATAAGTGTGCCTCTGTCGTGAGTTTTTCTTCTCTATTTTTAAAAGTACTGTTGGTCAAAAAGATTTCCTTAGAGGAAATAATTCATGCTGGCTTTAACAAGAATTTTGACCTTAAAACTGCTATAATTTGAAAAACTTAGTGATAATAAATTAGTGTTTTAATCACATTGCAAAATTACATAATTATTTCTGATATGCTCATGCTTGAATGGAAATACAGATTTATTCCTTAAAGGAAGGCTTGATATATAAATAATACCCATGAAAAGGTAAAGTTTATAATTTGAACATTACTAAATATTTAGTTTGCATGAAATTAAAGTTAGAATCTGACATTGCGTGAAGGTGAATAAGCAGTGATTTATTATGCAGTGCTTCCATTTACACCCGTTAAATTTAGAAAATGGAATAGTGCAGAGAATGGATGTTGTAGGAGAAATGAACTCTTACTGCATAACTAAACTTCTTTTAAAAATAGGTTTAAAAGAAGTTGATTTAACATCCAGAATATCTAATTCTTTAGGAATTGGGACAGTGGGCAGGTGGGAGCTTCATTTCAGCCTACTGTATTTCAACAAGCATTCTATATTCCTTTTGTGTACCTCATTTCTCAGTAATTGACCATATTTTAACAGTAGTTCAAAGAGGGATTTCTTCAGATAAATTTCTTTGGAATACAATTCACCACAGTAGACATTTGTAGAAGAAAAGCAAGAAAGCTAACTTTAAAATTAATTTTAGAGATTTATATCCCTTACAGAGAACATCAAGGGAAACTAATATCAAGCGAGAAGTTATGAAAACCAAATGGATTCTATTAAGTAAGACTTGGAAAGCTATCAGTACTTTTGTTTTTTTTAATGTGTTATTTTTAGTTTATGTGTATGAGTGTATTCTCTGCATGATTATAAGTATACCTGTGGAGGGCATAAGAGGATGTTGGATTCCCTGGAGCTGGAGTTACAGATGGTTGTTAGCTGCCATGTGGGTGCTGGGAATCGAACCTGGGTTCTCTGTGAGAGCAATCAGTGCTCTTAAGCACTGAGTCATCTCCAGCCCCAGCTATCAGTACTTCTAAAGATCAAGACAGAAAATTCAAATTAGGTTTGTAAATTTCAGAAATGAATATTATCCTGAATGGGAAATTAATGTTTATATAATAAAAGTAGAACTGAAAGCCGGGCGTGGTGGCGCACGCCTTTATCCCAGTGCTTGGGAGGCAGAGGCAGGTGGATCTTTATGAGTTTGAGGCCAGCCTGGTCTACATAGTGAGTTCCAGGACAGCTGGGGCTACAAGGAGACAAAAAAAAGTAGAATTGAGGTTGCATTTTCTAAGACATTTCAGATGAAAAAGAGTGAAAGCAACTTTGAAGAATTATGGTAAAAATCCTTAACTGATGTTAAGAAATGTATGTTGATTAATTCACCCAGTTTTGATTCTCAGAAATGAAAGCCTCAAGGGAGAAATTAGCCACAGTTATATTTATGATCAGTAGGTGTCACTCTTTCCTTAGCTAGCCCCCATTTCCCAGGCTGTGTTGGAAGGTTAAATATCCTTGAAAGTGTTGAGCTGGCCATAAAACTAAGTATCTGAATTCTATGACCCCTTTCAACGTGCATTAATTCAATATTGAACAAATATTTGGTAAGCATTTACAATGAGTGCTGGCAGATGGGACTGTGAATTGAACCCAGGGCCTCTCACTGGACCACTGAGCTATACCTACCCAGCTTATGAGTACAGCTTTAAAATGCTGAAATGTTCAAAACAACTGCCCTGTCAATATGAGCTAGTGAATTAGGCCATAATTGGGAGTGGTGTGCATGCCATGGTGCCTGGTCATTTCATTCTCAGTGCTAAGTCACCCTAGTACATCAATTATAAAAATTATTCATTCTCTTTTTTCAGATACATTGAGAGATTTTTAAAAATCTTTTCAGATATATAGAGATATTTAAATTTTATTATAGTCATTTTGTAGTTTTACTAGACAGAGCCAGTTTAACCTAAGATTTAGACTTTTCGTAGTAACATGAGAACACTGAAAATTTTGGATATTATATCAGGAATGGTATGTGGGTTTGAAAATTAAGTGTGGATTGTAAAGATAACTAGTTTTTCTTAATACCACTGGACTTCTTTGTGATTAGCATCCTATGGAGGCTGTGTGGTAGTATAACTCAACAGATTAGCGATACCAAAGATATACTTCAAAAAAATCCAGGAGTTTTTTTCCAGATTTTTCCAATACACAGTCATTTTATAGTTTGAATGGAAGGCAGTTCTTGGATCTGATGTTAATGATAACAGAGGAGTTGTTGAAAGTCTGGAAGGTTTCCTGGTAGTTAATCAGTTTGTGAAATGACCCCTGCAATTTCTCCAAATGCGGGAAACTTGACTGCATGATTTGTGGTAGTGGGGGATTTTGTTTGTACTCCCTCCTTTAAAGTAAAATATAAAAATAAGTTCAGCATTTTGAGATTAACCTTTGTTTTCTTGGTTCCTGTTTAATTCCAAACGTTTTACTATCGCTTGTAACTTTAAGCTAGAACAGTTCCTTTTGTCTACATGTAAGTTGAGACCAAAAGAGCAAAATCTTGAGCAGTTAACATTTATGACGTGTATATATTGGAACAAATGTAAAAGGATTACAAAGATTAGAAAGTCATAAAAACCCACTTGATTAATATATGCATTACTTCTGGTGCTTGATATAATGGGATATATTGAACTAAAAATTTTGTATATACAATATGTCAGCATTTCTTACTAACTTCTCTTAAATCCATTTTTAATGCATTCTATAGGTTGGGGAGTTACATATACTCTTCAGGCCAATATTATCCAGACTGTATACATTTATAAAACAAATTGAAAAATTCATCATTCCCCTGTATTCAAGACCAAAGCACATAATGCTAATGTAGGGCTCAGAGGGGAAATATAGTTCTCCTGCATATTTGAGAAAATGTGAAGTCCTTTCAAGAAAATGTAATAAACATAATAATCATAGCCTGCTGACACTAAGGAAAAAGGACCTCATCCGCTCTTTCTTTCATGCAGCGATTTACTGGTCCCTGCTGATTTCCAAATTGGATCATTGTAGTAAATTATCCATGCTGGTACCTGTGAAAGTAAGCCCTGGGATCCATATTTGTTTTGTGTTCTGCTTAAATCAGCAAGAATGATAAATTTGATGGTGTGAAATTGGAAGTATCAAGGGCTTTCTTTGGTGATTGAGCAAAGTAATGACCCCACCTGTAATTTATTGTGACCCTTTTTTACTGTATGTGCTTCATGTTTCTAATATTTATTTCAATACAAATCAAATTGTTCTTTCTTCATCTATATTGTTATATCTAACATTTTATTGATGTAAAAATCAAATTGTATAATAAAAATCTCCCTGGATTTAAGCAGGCTTAGAAATTGCTGTGTTGCACAAGTACTTAGAGTTAGAATTCTGCTTCCATTTGAGCCTAATTGCCTGTTGTTAGAAGGTGAATCCGAACACTTCTGTTGTCTTCATCCTGCTATAAGTAATAGAAATGCTGTGATGTTGAGGACTAATGAGAAGCTGGAAAAGTGCATTAGAAGTGAGACTTGGGGATTACATTAGATAGTTTAGCTATTTGCTTGCTTGTGTTTTTTTTTTTTTTTTGTTTAGTGAAATTGATAGCCTAGTGGATGAGTTATTAAGAACCTTAAAAATGGGGGCTGGAGAGATGGCTCAGCAGTTAAGAGCACTGACTGCTCTTGCAGAGGACCCGGGTTTGATTCCCAACCCACATGGTGGCTACGAACTGTCTCTAACTCCAGTTCCAGGGGAATCCAAAGCCCTCTTCTGACCTCCACGGCATTGTGCGACACGGGTGCACTCACATACATGCAGGCAATACACTTGTACACATAAAATAAAAATAATAAAATATTTAAAAAAAGAACCTTAAAATGATTCACATCCAAAGTCATGGGTCAACAGAAGATACCAGAAATACATTTCTCTTCTAGGTGTCTAGAATTGGTAGATATTTTCCATGTCAGTTGGACAGCAAATTCTAAGTAATGCACTGTATAAGCTAGTTATACAAATCCTTGTCCGCTTTGAGAATGTAATCTAAAAGGCATAGAAATCAGTTACATATAAAGGCAATTCTGATAGATGAAAAATAATGAATTAGAGTTACCCATATAAGCAGAAAAATGTTTGGTAACCCAGGAAATAGGTTATTAGGGGGCTGTGGGTGTAGCTCAGAGATAAAGCATATGCTTTTCTAGTGTGTATGAGTGAGGCCCTGGATTTGATCTTCAGCACTACACAAAAGTTTAGGGGGAAAATTTTAAATATTATTTTAATTTTATGTCTGTGTGTATTGCTTGCATGTATGGAAGTGCACCCATGTTGTGCAATACCCGTGGAAGTCAGAAAGGGCATTGGATCCCCTGGAACTGGTGTTTAGACAGTTAGCTGCCATGTGGGTGCTGGGATTTGAACCTGGGTCTTCTGCAAGAACATTCAGTGTTCTTAACTGCTGAGCCATCTCTCCAGCACCAAAAAAAAATTTTTGAGAACATTTTATGGTATTTTATTTCTGGGACATACACACTGTCAGTTCATGATGCAAGGGAAAATCTTTAGAGCTGTTTATACCATAATTCTGAGCTACTAGGAAGGTGAGAGCATCTCAATTTGGTTAAAATGGAGAGACTCCTCAAAGAAGTGATGTACTGAGATTCTCGAGAAGAGTGGGTGATGTGTCACTAAGGATAGTATTAAAAGTTTATCTTGGGGCTGGGGAGATAGCTCAGTGGTTAAGAGTACTTGCTGTGCAAGTCTGAGGACCTGAGTTCACATTTCCAGAACCCATGTAAAAGCTGGACATGGTCCCACATTTGCAGGTAACCCCAGCACCATGAGGAATGGAGCTAAGGAGGATTCCTAAGAATTTGCTTCCAGCATACTCCAGGTTCAGTGAGACACAGACCTGACTCAAGGGAATAAGGTGGAGCATGACAGCAGGGCAGCTGACATCATCCTCTGACCTTTGTGTGCACACACACACCACTCATACCTCACACACAAAAGTTTATTTTAGGACAAATTTTGAACACAAATGAAAACATCTAAGATGAGTATAGTGACCTACTAAATTCTTACTACACAGAACCCATGACCCTCAACCAAGGCCTGTTTTCATCCCCATTTACTTTCCCCTCTCCTGCTTTAGATAATTTCACATTATTTTATATTGGTTCTCAATAAAAATTTCTATCACGTATCTCTAAAAGAGACAACATTTTAAGGTCAGTATAAACATTTATAATTAACATAAGTGTAGAAATTAGGCTGAGTAGAAATAAGGTTTTGAGACTATATAACATTATGAAGGAAGGGAAAATGCTGTTTTAGTAAAGGAACAGCTTTCCCTCTACTGCCCTCAGCAAGATACAGATATGAGCAGCTCAGCCCTCTTACAGGAGATGATTAGAAAGGGGGTTTTGCTTTACTACCTTAATTCTCACCCCTCCTCTCTCTCTCTCTTTCCAAGACTGAATTTCATCTAGCTCGGGCTTTCCTTGAACTCTTGATTCTGCCTCCACCTCCCAAGTAGTGGGATTAGAGAAGTACTTATTCTCTCCCCCATAAAGGAAGTAGTGCACTTAACTGTTTTTCCTTGAAAATATAAGAGGGTTAAAATAGCGTGTGTGTGTGTGTGTGTGTGTGTGTGTGTGTGTGTGTGTTCAAGTATGTGCCATGGTGTGAGTGTGGGGGTCAGAGGACAACTTGTGGGAATTCTCTCCTTTTATCATGTGGGTCCCAGATATCGAACTCAGTATATATCAGGCTTGGCAGCAAGCACTTTTACCCACTGAGCCTTATTGCTGACCCACTTGTGGGATTTTGATTGCCAGTTTTTCCAAAAGCAATAGAATAGGGGCAAGTCAGTTCTGTACATGATTACATGATGGGAGTGCAGATAGCCAAACAAGGGGTAACTTGGCGGCGCTTGGCTGCTAAATAAAGGATTTAATATTAAAATCACTGTTTTGCCAGATTTGGTAATACATGCTTATAATCCTAGCACTTGTGAGGCAGAGGCAGGAAGATCAAGAGACTTACTGCAAGTTTGAGGAAGGTCAACCTGAGCTACTTAGTGAGTTCCAAGCCAGTCTGGTCTATAGAGTGAGAGCTTGTCTCAAAAACAAAAAGAACAACACAAATTTGGATTATCATAAACTAGCAAGTATGGGTTTAAATCAAGGCACAAAATCACAGAACCTTTTGTGGATTATTTTTATTACTGTTGAATGTTGATCAATAAAAGTTTTCAACTAGATATTTACTGTTATCCAAAGAGAATAATCCTGAGGATAATGTGACAAATTAATTTGGGGACCTAACAAAAATAGGTGAATTGTCCAGTGACCTGGCTAATAAAAGTAAGTGGAAAGGGAGGTGTGGAGAGATGGCTTGAGTTAGACTCACTGTGTAAGCAGGCAGACCTGAGTTTGGAATCTAACATCCACTTAAAAAGCTAGGTATAATCACTGGTGCCTTTTACCCCAGTGCCCAGAAGCTGGAGACAGGAGGATCTCTGAGCTTGCTGGAAAAATGATCAGTCCCATGCTCAGTGAGAAACCATTAGAGGAGGACACCTGACATCTTCCTCTGGCCTCCACATAAGTGCATGGGCACACACACCTGTACTCCTACATATACATACATATATATGACATGCACACAAAAATGGAAAGACTGAGCTGGGGGCTCATGGGGACTTTCAAATTTTAGGACTGACTGGAAAATACAACTCAGTGATACTGTGTTTTCTTAGCGTGAGCAAGGCCCTGGGTTTGATTCTGCAGTGCCCCCCAGTCCTCACCACCAAACTTCAAAACACTCATATGCTGGACCTAGTTTAGCAACCCAGTGTTAAAACATTATCAAAGAATTACAAATAACAGCACAAATAAAGCAGGACATGGTGACTTGTGCCTGTAATCCCAGGATTCGAGGGGCAAAGGCAGGAATCAGGAGTTGAAGGCCAGCCTGAGCTACACAGTGAGTTTGAGGCCAACCCGGACTATGTGAAGCCCTGTTTTTAAAAAAGGGGGGAGAATTAAAATTCTGATTCCAGTGTTTGAATATTCTCATGTCCTGATTTGTAAAATGTGACTAGTAGGAAAAATTAAAGATTGTTTGGTGTGTGGGAAAATATTTGCAGATTGTAAAGATTTGTGCAAACAGTTATATTTAAACTGTGCTTCTGATTTACCTTTAGAGAGTCTGGGACTCCTGGAATTTGTAAAGAACTGCCCTCAAAGTGATACTTCATCAGTCAGTATTGGTTTAATGTTGTGACACCATGTTTTAGGTCAACACTTTTTTACAAAAATGAAACTCAGGCCTGAGACTATAACTCAGCAGAACTCAGGTTAAACATTTTTAAGATCCCCAGTGCCAAAAAGAAAAGAAAAGAAACTCAACTCTGAGGGCTTTTTGTTTTGTTTTGTTTTCTTTTTCTTTTTCTCAGAGTACAAAACCTTATGTCAGTTGGATGTTTTTAGCCTCACAATTCTAGATAATTATACAAGGGGTGGCAACTAGAAGTGTTACTTAGCAAAATCCTACACCTGTCCTATGGTAAGAGCTCTTTCCAGAAGTAACATCTTTAAAATCAGCAAATGATTTAAAACTCCTCTCCAGACTTCTGTCTTTTAAACTTTACCAAATTAATACATAAATAGGGGTGCAAAAGTGGTCCAAGACACTCAAAACTCAGTTTATCTATAATATGCAGAGAATGTGGCTGAGAATTACATCTTTCTGCCCTAATCAGGAAAACGAGAGTGAGCTGATTCCTATGTTCAGCAGAGCCTTTCTGAAGCATTGCAGCATTGGAAGGTAGTGTTCCCTGTCCAAGATCTGTGGCTCTGAAGTCTGATAGGCCTGTTTCTGGTTACTTGTTAGTCATGTGCCTATAGCTCTGTAAAGTGGCATGATGGCCATATGGGTCATAGTTTGTGAGATAAAAGAGCTGAAACACAATGTTTAGTATAGTGCTTTGCATATAAAGATGCAGAAAATTTTGGCTGTCATCTATAATTTGAAATTCTAAGGGTTGCTTCATTGACAGATTGACTAACATAATTTTGCATGTAGCCAGAAAGTAACCTTAATTCTCTGTATACTGTATAGTAATAATTGAGCTCAGTTTTACCTCCTCAGTTTGTAAAATTTTAAAATTTCAGAAAGTTTAAATTTTGGAGATGCAAACATGATACTGTGATACAGTAGTAAGTGTTAAATGAACTCTGGTGTATTAGTTATTTTTCTGTTGCTGTGATAAAACAACATGACCAAAGGCAACTTATAGAAGAGTTTACTTTGGCTTATGGTTCCAAAGGGAAAAGA